AAAATAAATTATATAGATACATTATTAATATATAAAAATTATATAAATTCATAGTAATTCGAATGTACAATAAAAAAACACTAATAGTCAACAATCTCTAAAGTAGGGCGTTAAAATCTCTCAGTTGATACCTCTCCTCCAATAGATTATGGGTTCATTAAAAAATGGTTGTCCCTTTTTCCCATATATATGGGGTAAGGGGGAGGTAAGATAGTAGATTACCCCCAACACCAGGTTGAGAGCAGCTTCCGTAAGAGACCTTCGAATTATGAAATGCCCTCCATGGGACTCGATCCCACGACCTCAAGATTATGGGTTCATTACTTGAGCAAAATTCTCTTATCCTCTCTCCTTAAGTAGGAATTGTTAAAAAACAAAACAAAACAAACACTAATATACAATATCAAATAAATTTTCTTTAAATTAATTTTATATGATAGAGTATATAAATGTTATAAATTATGCATTTACCTTTGATTTAATTATCGGAGGTTAGGGGTGGTTTAGATATTATAATATGTACTTTAGAAATTTTAATATACTTTAGATATTATATATGTATTTATTGACCTATGTTTATACTAATCTTCCTTCATTGTTTGGACAATGAATATACTTAATTATAGATTTTACATTTTATCGAAAGTGGTCATATCTAAATACTAGAGTGAATAAGATAATGTTCCATTAAAAATTAAAATTTAATTTTAGTGATATAGCGTGCCATAATTCATCAATGCATGATTACTTCTTCTTTTTCTATAAAAACATATAAATATTTATTTATCTAGAATAGTTCGTATAAAGTAATATAATATTAATATTCAACTTTCTATTAATATACGTTTGACGTAATACATAATAATATGTATTATACTTTCAAAAAGAATTCGAGTTCAAATCTTTGCTGACAGTGTTAGAATGAGTAATTAAATTTTTTGAATATGAATATTACGGACATTATTATTGTATGGCATATTTTAAGTGTATTTGAACTTTTATTTATCTTTCCAATATCAATTTTAGATTTGTACTGATTATTTCTTATATTTTAACAAACCATTTTCCAAACAAGATAGTAACTCTTGTAATAATTAAAAAATTTCCATATATTATTATTTGTGTATCAAATGTTGCATAAATATTAAAGGGGGAGAAAAGCCTCTTCTAGGCTTGTTAGAAATTACTTATATCTATAATATATAAGATAGAACAACACGAAGGAAAATTACTTATACTCGATCGATGATATGAATACTACTATTACTATGTCCAACTCTTTCACTATTATTACCTACTACAAGGACCAAACTAATTATATCATTCATTACAGATGAAGAGATGTATCAACGTCATCACAATACTCCGAATCTTGGATTTTGTCGCGACCGACATGTAAAGACGTCGATGAAGGTGTTCCGATGATTGTCGGCAACAAGGCAAAAAGTGGGGTCTCCATGCACCCCAAAGTACTGGAACTCGACGCTGCTGCACCACCAGACCAGATTGATAGATTAGGCACTTGACGAGGTGGTGCCACTGATGTAAACAAGTGGAACAACAACAAACCCGATGGCGGCGACTCATAAGAAGTGGGGTGAATGTTGCATTGTTTAGGCTGCTCCGACAACTTTCTCAATAGTTCCCTCTCTTCCCTCATCTCTTTCATTCTCTCCAACTGCCTAAACCTCTCTTGAAGTAACGCAATGGACAGTGATTGCGTCGACACGACATGATCGTCGATGCTTTCTCTTCCCATTTGTGGCCTTAAGGAAACATACATTGAAGGGTATGTACTTGTGTATGTGTATATATATAGGGTGTTGGGATGGTTGATTGTTTCGGTTACTTGCTTTTGTTAGTTCAAGACATGCATTTGTAGTTGTTCGATGAAATTCTAGGGGGAATTAGAATCGGAAGGTAAGGGGAAAAAGTCCAAGAGGAAAAGGTTGTATGGGGCAATCTATAGGACGAAGTACTTTGGGTTTAGTGTACGTAAGGAAGAAAAAAAGAGTCCGAAAGAATGTTGAAAGGTAAGCACATGGGATTGGAATTTGGAAGGGCATATTTGGAGCAACAATAGATTTAGGGGATGCTCTCTTGTCAGACCTATCTTAGCTTGCCCCAACCCATTGCTTCTTTTTAGCTCAAGAGATGCTGGTGCCCTTCATAGTGGGGGTTGTTTTAAAACAAATATCCACTCATTCAAATTTATTAATATTTTTCGATACTCCAATGCTAATCCATCTCACTTTAAAAGTAAAATGATTAAAATGTGTCCTGCATCATAAAAGAGGACCTGTACATTAATTTTACCCGTTGTTAACTGTATATGGACGGGGGTAAAAGACAAGGGGTAGAATAGAATAGGGACAGCAATCTTAGGAGGCTCATAATGCTTTGATTGAACAATAATGTATGACAAAGACAGACAGGCAGACACACATCAAACATTCTCTCTCTCTCTCATTTTGATTGAGATATGTTTTGTCCTCATGTTTTTGGAATGGAATGGCATGCACACATGAAAGCTGCATATGCCACCAACAGTGTTTGGGATTTGAATGCTTCCTCTATGCACTGGAATGAAGAAGAAAAAAAAACCCTCCCTAAGGATGAGAATGGAACCGAACAGTATACAATTGAATCGAAAGTCGAAACACTCGAGTTATTTTATCATCCCCACTAGTATGGTTTTCAAAATCGGACCGGTCAGCGAACTAGCCGTGCTACCGGTTCACTGGTTCAACCGGTCGAACCAGTTAGACCGATCGGAAGAACCGGACGACGTCATAATTATTTAAAAAATTAAATAAAAATACCAAAAACATTTAATAAAAAACTAAAAACATCCCCCACACCAAAATTCCATCATTCATTACTTGATTCACTTCTAATAAAAATCTCCAAACATTACACATTAAAACCAAAGCAAAAGTTGATTAACCTTCAAAATAAAAATTTAACTTTTTTAATTTTTTATTGATGGCCGGTTCTTAGCGGTTCCGGTTCAAACGGTTCACAGCCGGTTCACCGGTTCGTTGCGGTTCACTAGTAGCGGTTTAATCGGGTTAGAATGAACCAAACCTGGCAACGATTCCCGGTTGAACCGGTCGATCCGATCCGGTTTTCAAAACAGTGCCCACTAGTTACTAAATGTGTAAACAAACATAATGTTCAATGAACTATTCATATAATGTTCATTTTTGTTCATTTATTAATAATGTTCATTTTTGTTCATTTATTAATAATGTTCATTTTTGTTCATTTATTAATAATGTTCATTTTTGTTCATTTATTAATCTAAATAAACGAGTATAAACAAGATTTTACGTTTATTTAATAAACGAACGAATATGAACAAATGTGTGTTCTGTTCGTTTATGTTCACGAAAAAACTCATTTATAAGTTTGTTTATTGACTCGTTTATAAGCTTGTTTATTCAATTCTCTCTCTTTTTTCCTTTTTTATATTTTAAATATTGATGAAGATAACGACTAAATTAACACATGGTGAATTTTGGAGTTCAAACTGTGAAATCTAAGGATCTAAAGGACTAGTGACATATCATCATTTCTGAACATGTCCGTAAAAGTTAAACGAATATATTCATGAACAATAAATAAATAAACATGAATACGATATTAATTCAAATTCGATTCCTTACACTCTTAAATGATACTTCTGTCTATTGTTATTAATTTACTATTTGGAACATCGATGTTTGGAGCTGGTGGTGGGTGGAATGAGAAAAGGATTATGGGTTGATAGACAAGGCGTGCAGTTACATAACCATTATGTATTTTTGCACTAATTAATTAGGGTTTAAATTAATCAAAAGTTGACATGTATATTTTGTTTGTTTTGTAGCCTTTTGTCCATGTTTTGATACACATATCATCCACCAACACATATATAGAGAAAGATAATTAAACAAGGGTAAAATATACAAATGGTCCTGATAATTAAAAGTTAAAAAATAATCACTTAATTATTTATATGTTTTAAACTCCTTTTTTTTTAAAAACAAAATTGACGATATAGTTGAGTTGTACATTAATATGGTGACTGAAATATAATAGTTGTTTGAGATTCTGAAATCAGTTTTTAACATATCTTAGTTAAAGGTTAATGTTCAGCTTAGACTGTCGTCAATTTTTTAACGAAAAAATGACGAGTTTGGAACATATAAAAAATGACGAGTTTGGAACATATGAACAGTCGAGTGATTATTTTGTAACTTTTAATTGTCGGGACTCAACAAAGAAACACCCTATAGTCGAAATATCATTTTATAACTTTTAATAGTCGGGTGTTATAGTATACGATTGATGCAATTATAATTGATTAGTTAGATTTGTCAATAGTTTATTATTGTTTTGGGTTATATAAACCCAATAATTGTAAGTGGGCTAGCTGAATGTATTGCCTTTTACTTCAATTCTAAATACACTTTTAGTATTGCTCTGTTCTCTATATTCATTTTAGTCAATTACTGAACCCTAGCCGTTTAACTCCACATTCATCACCACTGGGATATCTCCGGTCACCATGGCTGCTTTCTCACATCGGGAAACTCAACAAAACAACTCCTTATAGTTGGAGGATCATTTGTGTACCTACGCACTACAACCTCAGTGGCAATGCAAATGAGACATGGACTGTGAACCTACTCACTACAACCTCTATACTAAATTAATGTAATTAGTTTCTTCTAGTGAATTTATTAACCCAAGTTAACCTTTTTTTTAATAATTTGTGATAATTATAATATAATATATGTTTAATTTTTTTTAATCATTAACAAAACACACGTCTTATAAATTCAGTTGTTCCAATTAAACATTTCTCAAGAGAATAATATTTATGGGTTCAACCCAATTAATTACAACAGCAGAAACAGACCAAATGTGAAACACAAAGCTTCTAAGAGGCCCGAAACCTGAAGGCCCAAGAACAACATAAACAGGTACAAAGTTTTGTGTTGTGTTTCCCCTATCTAAGTGAAAGTCGAAACCGAGCAACAACCATAGCCACCATCGAAAGAATCAAAGATGAACACAGACATTACAGCGTCGGCTAAACCAGAGTACCCCGTTATAGATCGGAATCCTCCCTTCACCAAAGTCTGTGGCAATTTCAATACCCTCGATTACCTCCGTTTCGTCACCATCACCGGCGTTTCCGTCACCGTCGGCTACCTCTCCGGTAAATTCATTATCTCATTTCTAGCATTCAAACCCAATTTGGGTCTCTGAATTTGATTCAAATAGAATTTGGTTTTGACCCCTTTTCAAATTTTTTTAGGGATAAAGCCGGGATTGAAAGGACCGTCAATGGTGACGGGAGGGCTGATAGGACTAATGGGTGGTTTTATGTACGCTTACCAGAACTCGGCTGGTCGACTCATGGGATTTTTCCCTAATGATGGTGAGGTCGCTCAGAACCAGAAACGTGTATTCAACAAATAGATCTTTTTTCTTTGTTATAATCAAAACGATTTGGGATTATTTGAATTATTGTCAATAATCAGATTGCTTCTGCTGGTTTCATTTTGCTCTCATTTCATGTCTTGTTTGTCTTGCTGCTGTATTCCTACAGGCTTTTAGAAAAGTTAACTTATGGATCTAAGTTCCAGTTGGCCACTGAATTTGAGTAGTATCTTTGTTTCTTTTTTACTGAAAGAGTCTTTGTTTTGTTGTTTTCCTTAACAATTTAGACTGAAGTGAATGTTCTTTAGTTGATCTTCATCGCCTATGTGATAACTGGAGTATTTCTCTGGTGCTATTCTCTAGGTTGGAAATTGGCTTCTGATGAGAACCCAATTACCATATCGAGATTGGAGAGACAAAATTTGGATTTCCATATCAGCTGATTTGCCATGAATTTATGTCTTCGATAAGATGGGAATTATTTATGGTACTTGGGTTCTCATCAGCTTCTGTACTCTGTAAACAGTTGTTGCAGTACCATAGCTTGTAAGCTTACAACTTATAGACTTATAGTTATTTGAACATTAGTTGCTTTCTCAATGGGTTGTAAAACGCAACTTCAACTTCTTCGTCATAGAAGATTTAGGCTTTTTAGCTTGCTTCTTTGTGCTGATATTACAATATAAATTCTAAAGGATGTTTCACAATCCATAACTTTTGGAACTGTACTTAGCTTCTTGCTTGGGATGATCTATCCTTATATTTCGGTCAGCTTATTGTTATACGCACAAGTCATGTTTAGATCTGTTCAAAGTAGGTTCATCCAACCTAGATGGATCCTGGTATAGCTCGTTTTTTGTGAAACGGGAAGTTCAGCTCTGTTACAATCACTTATCACTGGCTTTTTGTTACGAATAAGAAGTATTCTGGCCATCTTTCTGGGTTTAATATTTTGCAAAACTTGTTCTTCTGGGCTTGAGAGGTTAGAGTTTCCCTGCTTGGAAAAACACATTGCTTCTATTGAGTTGAGAACTCAAGTTAGACCACGAATGGGACCGAAACATTTATGCCCTCGAACTTATCTGGATTCTGTTTGTAGCCTTTGTTTCTCAGCAATTTCATCTATAGGATAGCCTCTCACTCCATATGAAGGATAGCTAGCTTTACTTAATAAACTGATATGGGTTAAATAGGCTCTCTAGGATGATTAAGTAAACAATAGGAAATAATTAGTACTTATACTCTGATATAATGCAATATTAAATTATGTGCATTTGTAGTTTTCATATCTTCTTGCTGGATGACATGCTCTTCGAGCAGATATAGTACTGGAAAATGTCTATCTCAACATCTTGACGAATGTTGAATTCTCTTTAGAGGACAGTATTTTGGTGAAGTGTTTGATTTGTTCGACTCCAGGGCTATAGGTTTTTTTAATTTATTTGTTTAAAATTTAAAGTTTCGGCGGACAATGGATGATGCATTTCCATTAGTCTCTGATGTATTGGCATCAATATCATATAGATAGCACCATTTGACACAGTTTATGTTGTTGGCATAGTAGGATGTTGATTTTGTTAACTTTACGGTCTTAAAAATGACCGGATGCTTACATTCACATAGGGGCGTAAATGAACCGGACTTGAATGAATAAGATTATGTCCGTGTTCATTTATTTACTTTTGAAAGTGTTCACACTTGGTTCGTGTTTATTTCAATTTTTATTTGTCTTATTTGTTTTCGTTTATTTATTTTTGAAGGTATTCGTATTTGGTTCATTTAGCGTTCGTTAATATGTGCGTTTGATGCTTGCCAACATGTTTGTTTAGAGTTTGCGTACATTTTTGTTTATATGTTCAGAAATGTTAACAAATGCTAATCATATTTTCTGAACCAACGATACAATTAACCCAAACTCATTTCTGTCAGCTGCTATTCACATAGTGCTGCATGTAGACACTAGTACCGCCACTCAATTATATTCGAGTCTCATCGACATTCAATAAGGTAGAGAAACCACGTTTGCCACAGTTTCAACTGATGATTATGCACACACCCTGAAAACAGGAATATAAACACAACAATTGATGAGTACGCACACACCCTGGAAACGATAGTATATCAGATAAATACCTAGAATATGTTGCCATCACAGTTCTTCCATCATGATAATCAGCTTCACAGCTTAAGGTATAAAGGGTCTTGGAAGAAATGAGCTTCATCGATGCCGATACCGATAAGACTGAGGATGATGAAGAGAATGTTACAAAAAAGAGTCTGATACATAAACATACATATGACAGACCTCATCATAAGTATCAGAGAGTTTTTCAGCTGAATGATGACCAATTTTCACAATTGAATCCAACCCATATCTTGCATCCTTGTTTGGTTTTGAGCACAGATCTGCGTAACAAATATGAAGTTGAACTTGAACTAGTTGACCAAATTACAAGTGAACATTAACACGTACGTGGCAGGGTAACTTTCAGCAAATAGAATACAACATTTTAATGAGCTTTACCTATTGACAGGGTAATCAAATTCCGTACATTTCTCCACTCACACCGTAAGTTTTAGATTCAAATGTGAAGAACTTTTAGAACCCTTGACCAGCTAGTATTCACAGCACATACCAGAATTAGGAGCAGGACATGGGATTTTAGGTGCTACTTATATCAGGAATATAGTCTGGATCCTTTAAAATGGAAGGCGGTAATTCAATCAACTCGTAAATCTCTGCAGAACATTCGTGAGATACATCACCCCTCAAAAAGAAGTGGTCCTTCCCTTGAATCTCAATCCTGCTATAAGCAGGCTCCTTTATGACCCCAGTACTCCTCATTTTCTTCCTAAGTTCTGCCAAATTTTCCCAAAAACCAAAAGTGGCATAGGCATTAGACAAGACCACATATGTTCCAGCATTTTCAGGGTCCAATTCAAGGAATTTATCTGCCGCAAGCTTTGCCAGATCCATATCCCCATGAATTCGACAGGCCCCAAGCAAAGCACCCCATATGGATAGGTGCTCTTTAAAGGGAGAGTTAAGAACAAACTCGTAAGCTTCACGCAACTTCCCAGAACGACCTAAAAGATCAACCATGGCAGCATAATGCTGCCCTCTTGGTTGGATTCCATAGTCTCTTGTCATTGATACGAAATAGTGCCAACCTTCACCAACCAAGCCTCAATGGCTACATGCAGAAAGAACTGCAAGAAAGGTAACATAATTTGGCCGAAAACCTTCATTTATCATTTCATCAAATGATTATAAAACCTTGTTAACCCTTCCATGCTGACCATATCCACATATCAAGCTCGTCCAAGTAACAGCATTCTTATTATCAACTTCATTAAATACCCGATACGCATCGATAAGACTGCTGCATTTGAAATACGTATCCATAAGAGCACTGCTGACCACAACATTTTCCCTAATACGGCTCTTTATCAAGATCCCATGAGCTTGCTTCCCATGATCTAACGAAGCTAATGATGCACAGTCTCTAAACACAGATGCAAATGTGTATTGGTCGGGCGTTAAACCATTCGTTCTCATATCGTAATAGAGATCGAGTCCAGATTCTCCACAACCCTTTTGCACAAATCCAGCAATCATTGCATTCCAAGAAATCAAAGTTCTCTCTAGCAAATTATCAAACAGAACATGGGCCGTTCTTAAATCCCCTAATTTCGCATACAATATCAACAACTTAATCCTCAAATATTCGTTGGGTACATATCCAATAACAATCATTTGAGCATGGATTCTTCTCCCACTTCTATACTCTTTCCTGAATATGCATTCTTGCAAGAGAAGTGCATAAGTAGCATCATCTGCTTTCAATCTCGTACGCCATAAAAGCCCCAAGGCTTCCCTCAGTCTTCCCGAAAAACAAAGACTCATTAAAGCCTTATTCAGGTGCACGTAGCTCTTATGGAGCTTGGCCTGAAAGCTGAGAGTAGTTATTATCGCAGTCGGTCATCTAATAGCAGTGAGCAAAATATATAACAATGGAAGCAGGAAGCTAGTGTATTTACCAACAAAATACCTTACAAAATTTCATCTAAACAATAACATATGACAAGATAAAGATTCAAACCTGCGATTGTTGATTTGAGCCTGGAATCGGCAGAGCAGTGTGGTTGTCTTGCCAGCAAACATGGGTCCTACCATCACCGGGACCTCATCGCACGGCGAAGAAGATTGCGAGGACCGTGTGTGTTGTTTTCGAATTGTAGTTAAAAAGAACCGGGGGAGTAGTTTAAGCCACTGTTGATGGTGGGTTTTATCATTTATGGGAAGAAAATATGAATTTGGGAGAATTGTTTTGGCATAATGCTAAAATTAGGTCTCAATATTTATCAAAATGATTATTTTGACATCTATTCATTTTTTAGTGCATTTTAATCTCCAAGCGTTTCATTTTAGAGAAAAAAACCCTATGTTGTTGGAAACTACTAGTTAACAAATGATTAACGCTAAAAAATAGGAGTTTTTATCTTAAATGAAACATTGGAGGCCAAAGTGCTCCAAAATAAAAGAATAAGAGTCAACTCAACTATTTACTTAAATATTAGGGATTTTTTTGTCCTAAAATAAGAATTAGGGCTAAAATGCTCCAAAAAAAAAGAATAAGAGTCAAAACAATCATTCTAATACATGTTTGGGGGTTAATTTTAACATTATACTAATTTTTTGTGTGGCAAGCGGAATGGGAGAAAATGTGGGAAATAACAAGCATATATGAATCGGGTTGGAATAAGATCCGTTTTTAAATAAAATCCAATTTCAAACTAATCTAATTTTATTTGATTTATTTATATTAGTTTTTATTTAAAATTAATTTATTATTTAATATATATTTATATGATTAAAATTAAATAATATTATTTTAAATTATTTAAAGGATACATATCATTTTAATGTGAATCAAATTTCTATGTGTAATTTCATATTTAAAACTTTTTATTGACTCAATCAAATATTTAAGTTCAGTTTTAAATATTTTTTATATATGTTTCTTATTTTTTTATCTTTTAATCGAAAAA